ATCCAATCAAAATATAATTTAAACTCTTACAAATTAAGACAGAAGAGAGAACACTCCTACGTACCTCTTTTGCTCTAATTTTTACAGATTCATTTTCACTTGCTTCACTTTCAGAAGTGTTCAAACTGTACGAAAGAACAAGCCATCAATATCTTGCACACATTCCATTTTTATTTACATGTCTTCTATAAGTTGTTTGTCCAATATGAAAGCAGACACTAATGAGGAGATATCCTACTGGTCACATGCAAGCCACCACTTTCCCAGATTTACTGACTGTCTCCCACATCTTACGACACCCAGGCCATGCCAGGTTACCCAGGCAAGCAAGTACCAGGGTTCCATTACTGCAGCACCTTGTGGTCATGTCTGAGAACTGCACCTTCCTCCAAGTGACCAGTCCCAGGAGTATGGGCCATTATTTGCACGAAAAGCTAATCCATGAGGCCCATCATTAGGTGATAAAAATGGCAATACTTTCTTTTATCCTTTGAAAAGGAAAAAAATAACCCCAACTTCTGATGGGAGATGAAAATTCTTTCATCTTTTCATTTAGTTCAATACATTTATTTAACACCAATCTCAAAATGCAAAGTATGGTGAATAATATTAACCTTAAAAATGAAAGGCTTTCCTTTAAAGGGTTCACTGTCTAGTAGGAAGGCCAAAGATAGTACAGAGTGATGACTCAGCAAACATCAGACAGAGAAGAAGACGTGGATACATGGCTGACGGATTAGGAAGGGCACCATGGTTACGACACTTGAGCTGACTTGTGAAAGTACTTTTCCAGGAACACAAGTATGGGAAAGGAAGGGTATTTAAAGTAGAAGGAAAACTGAATGTAAAAGCATGGTAGTGGAAAGCCTGGCACGTTCGAGAATGTACAGATAGAATCTATTTTTTAAGAAAAGATAATGCTAAGAAGAAGTCAAAGGGTGTGACCAGAGAGGCTGAGAGACAGCCAGAGAGGACACTGCACAGATCTCCCTGTAGTGAGCAGACAGCCTCCCGCTGCAGAGCCATCAAACCCACGCAGCACCGGGGCCGTCTCCAGCCAATAACTAAGCATGGTGAGGGCACTGGGGCCTGGCCACTCTGCCTGGCGCAGGCCTCCTTTAACAGTGACCCTTTCCTCTAGAGTTCCCCAGCAGGTGGTCAGAACCATAAGTGCTGTAGCTCAGTTTGAAGCCAACTCTGCCCAATGCTGCTTCTTCCAACTTCAACCTTCACAGACGTTACTAATAAACGTTTTCCACGCCTAACTGTGCCTCAGCGTCTACTCACTCAAGGATCCAAACTGGCACAGGGGCCTTCTATGCCACACATACAGGAAATGGGGAGCCCCTAAAGGCAGCAGGCATGGGTATAAAACAAGACTTCGTTTTAGAAAAACCACTCTGAGGCTGGGCACAGTGGCTCATGCCTGTAATCCCAACACTTTGGGAGACTGAGGCGAGAGAATC